ACAGGCAATTATCTCTCTTAGCCCTCACATTGACTTTTTTTTCTCCAACTTTTCTCCTATTACTCATAAGCCGGTCAACATGCTAATCTGAAGTAAATAAATGTACAAGTAGAAAGTAGGATGCATCAGGATGGTCTTTTCATTTCGGGTACACCTGTCCTAGACAGACCCAACCCCTGTGTTGAGTTTCCAAAGTCAAATGCACGTGATGCAAACAAACGTTCCTACTAGGGATCCGGCATGAGGTTTTGTTATACTAGGTTTAAAACCTGGGTGTATTGTTCTAGACCTGGCTTACCCGAGCGGACAACTCGAGCCGAGGGGGGAGGGGCAGCGTACCGGGAATACAGAAGCTTCGCCGGATTTGCAACTTGTCCGAACCTCGATCTAAAATTGGATAAGACTCTAAACAGAAGAGAAGTCATACAAAGTGCACACTTCCCAGATGATTTAGAAGACTCAGAGAGAAGAAGGGTTTCGTAGCAATTTATATCCAGTTCACACAATATCAAAACGGTAAAAAGCGACAATTAACACATTAGGCTTAACATGTAAAATTAGATAATAAATAAAGCCAACTATAACAGCTATTCTAAGCTCGAATTCTTGAACCCTGAACCGAAGTTCTGGGTTCGTATCCCCAACAGAGTCGCCAGAGCTGTCACACCTCCTTTTTACACACCGAAGGTAGCACAAGGGAGTTTTTCCAATTAAAGTGACATTATTCGAAATGGGATTATTTATTCATTTTTTGTTCAGAGTCGCCACTTGGAATAGTTTGTTTTCTGGTGACCCAAGTCACCGGTTTATTTTAAAATCCCAAATAGAGGAAAATTCGACTTTCCTTTTGAAGTCTGTGAACCAGAAATTCTGAATAAGGAATTCTGTTAACCTGAGGGAAGGTTTTAGGCACCTCCGGATTCCGTGGTTCTAGCACGGTCGCTTAAACTATCATAATTAGACTATTATCTGATTTTAATACATGTTTTATCCAATGGTGTAATTTTAAATTATTAACTGCTTTTAATTAATTTTAGGAAGATTCAACGTTATCTAAAACATGTCTTTGAACCACGCCACATGAAATGCACCCATGGTCCGCCACACATTTTATTTAACGTTGATGAGATTTGAATTTGGGTCATATAAAATGCACACCCGAGTTTAAGGAAATTAATTTAAATTACGCGCCTAAAGCAACTACGTACTTTCAAATTTGCGAGGGCCATGGAAAATTCAACTAAATGACACACCTTGATTTCTAAAGGTTTGAAATTAATTAAGTGAGAGCCATGCGTCTGAGATTTTACTTGGCACGGCACACCGCGATTCCGATTTTAAAGGAAACTCAAACTAAGCTTTGAAGGCCATAAGCTATATCTTACTTAATATGGCATGCCCCAAATCTATTTACTGGAACCTAATTAATTAAACAGTAATGGAATTTGAATTTTTATTTCAAGTGAATGGTTCAATCCAAACTCGATCATTTACAAGGCTGATATTAAAATAAACAAGAGTTCAATTAATGGGAGGGCCTAAACTAAGAACAAGCCCAATTACGATGTGGAGCACCTATATCAAAGTTGAAGAGAAACAAATGGGCTCGAATCATAGGCTCCAAAAGGCTATGAATACAAGTTCCCCCATCCCAGAATGGATTCAGAATCCAGGCCCCAAGGCTAAACAAATCTTTTAAAATGATGCAAAGCCAAGACAGGACTCGTGATCGAGTCCCTACAGCTTACAAAATGGGCGCTTGAACATCAGGTCTGATTGATTTTCCATGATGCATAACTGTATAGGGATCATATTTAAATAAGTCCTCAGCTAATTCAACAAGGAAATTGTGCGAGATTTCAAATCTAATTAAATCTCTTTTCAATACATATAACGGCAAATCAAAACTCATGAGCTTGTTAAGTACACAATTCTGAATTTAAACTCAAACATGCTTATAAATGACCAGGAGCAATTCCGCATAGGATTAGACCCTTTAAGTAATCCACCAGGCCATTTTCCTCATTCAAAATGACTATAAGCTAACTACTAACTTGGAAACCATTCAATTAACAATTCATGAAGTAAGTACTACATGGTTTTCCAAATAGCAAAATACAACACTAGATAAACTCTTGCATGAAAATTTCTGGTTTCAAATCTTAGGAACATTAACTTAGACAAATTCAAACAAATTCCCACAACAGCACTGGTTTCAACAAGCCAAAACATACCTGAAACATGCTTAACTTTACTGAAATTTCTACTGCACTAATTCTCTACCACCCACACATATAATCAGAAACTTCAACTCATTTAAAATAAGCAAATGGAAGGAAGCAATTTGTTCAACACTATAACAGAGTTTAAAACTACAATAGACAAGAACTAAAACCCTTATATGAGCACATGCAGATTGATCTTCAAACAGAAACGAGCTTAGTTGCATTTTTCAACAAACTCCACGTTTTCCATACACAAAATCAAATTTACAACTTCACTTGCCATTCAATGGTTCAGAAGAAATACTTGGAAACAAAAGAAGTGAAAAATCAGCAAACAACAGCAGCAGAAAGTAACTTAGAACCAACAGTGAAACAATAACCTAAGAGCAGCTCAAACCAAACTCTTAAAACCCAAAACTCAAGCCATTTTACCCAGGTACAGGACCTTTGACACTTTTAGAAGTTCTAACTAACCAGTGAAATCAGAGAAACACACAAAAAAAAAAACCAAGCAGAATTTGAGCAGCTTTCACCAAAAAAAAATGCAGGGATTTCAATATTAAATTCAAAAGCTTTTCAAGTCCAGCCATTTTAAATTTTTCAGAATGTTTAGTATCCAACCTCCCTCTTGTGAGTGAAGAAAGAATACCTTTATAGGCAAGTCTTAGGGCAACAGAATTGAGTTTTATTTTTTGCCTTTTAATCCTTTTGCAATTTTCGTTTTTGCTGTTATACCTTTAGTTTAAAAACAGTTTTTCAAAGTCAGCCCCAAACCCACCTTACAGGAAGCTTCCCAGATCAGTTACAAATGATTCTCCTGCTTAAAATCCCTAGACTACCCCTTAAACCTTTGAAAATTACTTCTGAAACCTCATGGGTCAAATTGACCCAAGACCTGAACTGAACATGGCTTGTAGAACCCGGGTCAAAACCCTTTTTCTTCTGGCCCAAGTTCGAATCAGAAATTTAACTTACCCAAATAATGACTTAGAGAGTCATAAAGACTCATAAGGTCTTGGGCCTAAAGAAAAATAGAAACAAACAAATCATTCAAACAAAATCTAGTACCAAAAAGAACCGGGCTAATTAAAATAAACTTAATTACTAACATGCATACAAAAAAACTTTGAAAAAAAATCAGAAAGAATAAGAAGTAAGCAGAAGAAGATGGGGGGAGAACTAACAACGAAAAAATGAAGAACAGAAAATAAAGAAGAATACCTAAAATAGGGCTCGGGCAATAGAAATTGACAAAATCTTCAAACATTCAAATTTTTGGCCGAGTTTGACATTAACCGTATAAGAACACACGAATAAAATCAACCTAGAACTTAATCCTTTAACGAATTTCAATGATTTGGGGAGATTCAGGTTTTAGGGTTCGACTCAGATTTAAGATTCGAGGGAATCTAGGGTGATTCGAGGGAAACGAGTTATGGGTTGGGAAAGGGGAGGGTGTGAGGCTTTTGGGGTATTGATTTGGGGCCGATCAGAGGTGGCGCCGCCGGCTTAAGGCGATGAAAAATTGGGGCGCCGCTAGGGTTCATGGAGGTGTTCTCTGAAGGTGGAGAAGTGAGATGAGAGACGAGTTAGGGGGCAGGGGAGCGTTTGGACAGTTAAATAATAAAAAGGGTCCTTAGTTCTGGACCGTTCAATCAAATGAGATCGACGNGGGTTGTTTGGTTCCTGAGCGGGGCAGACCGGGTAGGGGAATGGGTTTTGCACCTGATTTGGTCGGGTTTGGATGGGTTAATGGGGAATAATGATTTGGTCATGGAGGATTCAACGAATTTGGCCCAAAAATCAGGCTTTTCAATTTTTTTCCTTTTCTTTTATTTCAAAATTCCTTTTTTTCTTTTTTTCAAAATTGAAATTAAAATAAAACCTAAATTAATCCTAAACCAAATTAAACTAATTAACTCTAAATAATGATTACCACAATGAAATAATACCAAATTAAAAGAAAACTACCGAAATTCGAAGTTAAAAAATTAAAAATGCAAAAATAAGTTATTTTTTGTGATTTTTCATTTCTGTAAAACAGTAAATTACTAATTAATCTAAAAATGTAAAATTAAGTCCTAAATGCAAATGCAATGTATTTTTTTGTATTTTTATGAATTAAACAAGATTAAACATGCACAAAAATGCAAACAATCAGAAACAATTCTACAATAATTCCTAAAATAACAAATAATTAAAAGAAAAATCTAATTTTTGGGATTTTGTTGCAGTAATTCATGTGAGGCAAAAATCACGTGCTCATAAACCCCGATATCAAAAAGTCCACTCCCGGTCAAACTTCCCAAAATTCCAACTTTTGCCATTTCAAGCCTATAAATCCAGAATTGTAACAACTATAGGGGCATCAAACTGTTAAGTCATACCGTGAAATTTTGGGAGAGGGTGGTGGAAAGGAGGGTAAGGAAGGCGGTGTCTATTCCTGAAAACCAGATTGGGTTCATACCGGGTCGTTCTACTATGGAAGCTATCCACCTTATAAGGAGGTAGGTGGAACTGTACATGCATAGGAAGAGGATTTGCACATGGTGTTTATTGACCTAGAGAAGGCGTATGATAAGGTCCCTAGGCACGTTCTTTGGAGGTGCCTGGAGGTGAAAAGGGTGCCTGTAGCATACATTAGATCGATAAAGGATATCTATGATAGAGCTAAGACTTGGGTCAGGACTGTGGGAGGTGACATCAGAGAATGTTTCGGTGGTAATGGGGTTATACCAAGGATTTGCACTTAGACCATTCTTATTTTCTCTGGCGATGGATTCCCTAACATACCATTTTCAAGGGGAGGTTCCATGGTGTATGTTGTTCACTGATGATATAGCTCTACTTGATGAGACACGAGGTGACGTTAATGAGATGTTGGAGGTTTGGAGGCAGACTCTGGAGTCCAAAGGTCTTAAGTTAAGTAAGACTAAGATGGAATACCTGGAGTGTAAGTGCAGCAGCATGACGGGGGAAATAGACAGGGTAGTGAGGCTCGACTCACAATTCATCCCCAAGAGAGAAAGTTTCAAGTGCCTAGGGTTTATTATCCAGGGTGATGGGGAGATCGACGAGGATGTAATGCATCGTATTGGGGTGGGGTGGATGAGATGGCGATTACCGTCTGTAGTCTTGTGTGACAAGAGTGTTCCACCGAAACTTAAAGGTAAATTTTACAGAGCGATGGTTAAACCGGCTATGTTCTATGGGGTTGAGTGTTGTCCAGTAAAGAATGCACATATCTAGAAGATGAAAGTAGCTAAAATGATGATGTTAAGATGGATGTGCGGGCATACTAAACTAGATAAGATAAGGAATGACGATATTCGGGAGAGGGTGGTCGTTGCTCCCGAAGATGACATGATACGGGAAGTGAGGCTTAGCTTATTCGGGCACGTGCAGAGGAGAACTATAGATGCCCCGGTTAGGAGGTGCGATTGATTGGCTTTGGTAGGGGCACGACTTCAGATTTTTGAGGACATGGCTCTTGATAGGAACATGTGGAGGTCGAGCATTAGGGTTGTAGGCTAGGGGTAGTCGAGAGTTTTTTCCTCTTTGTACCGGGTAGTCTGATAGAGTTTTGTCTAGGTATGTTAGCGGTCTATGTTTTGTCCACATTATTTTGATGTTTTGCATAGTATTGTGTTATTGCCCTTTCACTTATTTGTTGTCTCTTACGATGTTGTTATTACCTTTCTTGTTTCTTTTGTTGTGACAAACCTTTTATTTTGTTTCATTTCAAATAATATTGTCTCTTCTATTGAGCCGAGGGTCTCCTAGAAACAACCTCTCTACTCTTCCGGGGTAGGGGTAAGGTCTGCGTACATTCTACCATCCCCAGACCTACTAGTGGGATTTTATTGGGTATGTTGTTGTTATTGTTCCACTACAGACCTCCAAATCATAATTCGGACATGCTCCTAAGTCCAAAATCACCCAACAGAGCTAACACAACCATCAAAATTTAAATCCGAGGTTATTTACACATAAGTCAACATCCGATCAACTTTTCCAATTTAAGCTTTCTATTATGAGACAACTAACCTGGTAAGTCATATAACAACTATAAAGCACATAAAAAGCAAAAAATGGGGGAACATGGCTACAACTCTCAGAACAACAGGCCGAGTCGTTACATACTCCCCCTCTTAAATAAATATTTTTCCTGAACGGGTCTAGAAATATACATGGAGTCACGAATAGGTGTGGATATCTGCTCTGCATCTCCCGCTCGATCGCCCAAGTAGCCTCCTCCACGGGCTGACCTCTCCACTGTACCTTTACTGAATCTATATCCTTTGACCTCAACTTTCGAACATACCAATCCAAAATGGCCATCGGCTCCACATCATAAGTCAAATCACCATCTACCTGAACCGTGCTGAAATCCAAAACATAAGACGGATCACTGAGATACTTCTAGAGCATAGAAACAAGAAATACTGGATGCACACTCAACAAATTAGGTGGAAAGGCAAGCTTGTAAGCCACCTCTCCAATCCTTTGAAGTACCTCAAACGACCCAGTAAACCAAGGGCTCAACTGTCCATTCTTTCCGAACCTCATCACACCCTTTATGGGTGAAATCTTCAGCAGAACCTTCTACCTAACCATGTAAGCAACATCACTGACCTTCCTTTTGGCATAACACTTCTGTCTAGACTGCGCCGTGCAAAACCGCTCCTGAATCAGTTTAACCTTGTCCAAAGTATCCTGAACCAAGTTAGTACCCAATAGCCTAGTCTCGCTTCGCTCAAACAAACCCACCAGAGATCTACACTGCCTCCCATACAAAGCTTCATACGGAGCCATTTGAATGCTCGACTGATAGTTGTTGTTGTAAGAAAACTCTACGAGTGGCTGAAACTGGTCCCATGAACCCCCAAAAGCAATGACACAAGCAAATAACATGTCCTCCAATATCAAAATAGTGCGCTCGGGCTATCCATCCGTCTGAGGGTGAAATGCTGTACTCAACTCAACCTGAGTGCCTCTCGCTGCACGGCTCTCCAAAACTACAATGCAAATTGCGTGCCTCTATCTGAAATGATGGAAACTAGCACACCGTGAAGGCGAACAATCTCTTGGATATAAATCTTAGCCAACCAATCTGATGAATAAGTAGTACCAACTGGAATGAAGTGTGCGGACTTGGTCAGCTAATCTATAATAACCCAAATAGCATCGAACTTCCTCGAAGTCTGTGGGAGCCCAATTACTAAATCCATGGTGATCCGCTCCCACTTCTTCCCTGGAATCTCTATCCTCTGAAGCAACCCATTTAGTCTCTAATTCTCATACTTTACCTGCTGATAGTTAAGACACCAAGCTAGAAATCCCACAATATCATTCTGTATTCTACTCCATCAATAGTGCTATCTCAAGTCCTGGTTCATCTTCGCGGCACCCGGATAGATGGAATATCACGAGCTATGGGCCTCCTCCAGAATCAACTCCCATAGCCCATCTACATTGGGCACACATATTCGGCCCTGCATCCTCAACACCCCATCATCTCCAATAGCCACATCTCTGGAATCACTATGCTAAACCTTGTGTTTGAGGACAAGTAAATGAGGTTCATCATAGTGGCGCTCTCTGAATGCGATCAAATAAGGAAGTCCGAGAAATTATACAGGTTAGAACCCAACTGAGCTCTGAAATATCTAATCTCACGAACTGGTTGGTCAAGGCCTGAACATCAACTGCAAGAGGTCACTCACCAACAAGAATGAATGCAAGGCTACCCATACTCACTGCCTTTCTACTCAAGGCATCGTCTACCACATTGGCCTTCCCCGGATGATACAAAATAGTGATATCATAGTCCTTTAGCAGCTCCAACCATCTCCGCTGCCTCAAATTGAGATCGTTCTATTTGAAAAAGTGCTGGAGGCTCCGATGATCTGTAAATACCTCACAAGACACACCACAGAGATAGTGCCTCCAAATCTTCAACGCATGAACAATGTTCGTCAACTCCAAATCATGAACATGGTAGTTTATTCATGAGGCTTCAACTGGTATGAAGCATGAGCAATCACTCTATCCTACTGCATCAAAACACACCCAATACCGATCCGAGAAGCATCACAATATAGTATATAAGAACCATAAGCTGAAGGTAGAACCAGAATTGTAGCTGTGGTCAAGGCAGTCTTGAGCTTCTGAAAGCTCTTGTCACACTCATCTGACTACTTGAAAGGAGCACCCTTTTGGGTCAATTTGGTCAAAGGCAATGCAATAGACGATAAACCTTGTACTAAGCGACAGTAATAACTAGCCAAACCAAGAAAGCTCCGAATCTCCATAGAAGGGAACGGTCTGGGCCAATTGTGAACCGCCTCTATCTTCTTCTGATCCACCTGAATACCCTCACCGGATATCACGTGCCGTAAGAATGCCACTGAACTGAGCCAAAACACACACCTGGATAACTTGGCATAAAGTTTCTCCTCCCTCAACTGCTGCAACACAACCCTCAAATGCTGGGCATGCTCCTCCAAGCTATGAGAGTACACCTGGATATCATCAATGAACATAATAACAAATGAGTCGATATAAGGCTAAAATACACTGTTCATCAGATGCCTGAACGCTGCTGGGGCATTGGTCATCCCAAAACACATCACAAAAAACTCATAATGACCATAACGGGTCCTGAATGCTGTCTTAAGAATATCCGAGTCCCAAATTTTTAACTGGTGATACCCAGACCTTAAATTAATTTTGGAGAACACCCCCGCTCCCTGAAGCTAGCCAAATAGATCATCAATATGTAGTAAGGGATACTTCTTCTTGATTGTGGCTTTGTTCAACTGCCTATAACAATGCACATTCTCATAGTACTATCCTTCTTCTTAACAAAGAGAACTAGTGCACCCCAAGGTGACATACTAGGCCTAATAAACCCCTTATCAAGGAGTTCCTAAAGTTGCTCCTTCAACTCCTTCAACTCCGTCGGTACCATACGGTACAAAGGAATAGAAATGGGTTGAGTTCCCAACACCAAGTCAATACCAAAATCAATGTCCCTATCGGGAAGCATGCCTGATAGGTCTGCAGGAAGCACATCCGGGAAATTTTGCACCACCGAAAAAAAAATCAATAGTAGGCATCTCAGCACCAACATCACTCATATAAGGCAAATAAGATAAACAACCCTTCCCAACCATCTGTTGGGCCTTCAAGTATGAAATCACTCGATTGGGAACATAGTCTAGAGAACCTCGCCATTCATTCCGTGTAAACCTTGGCATTACCAATGTCATAGTCTTAGCGTGACAATCCAGAACAACATAACATCGAGACAACTAGTCCATACCCAAGATCACATCGAAATCAACCATACTAAGCAACAAGAGATCACCTCTAGTTTCCAATCCTCCAACCGTCACTACACATGATCGATATACACGATCCATAATAATTGTATCCGCCCACCGACATAGATACATGAACAGATGAAACTAGGGACTCAAGGGGCATATCCAAATAATGAGCAAAATGTGATGACACATACGAATAAGTGGAACTAGGGTCAAATAATATAGAGGCATCCCTATGAAAAACTGCGACAATACCTGTGATTACTGGATCTGAAGCAATGGCATCTGGTCTGGCAGGAAAAGCATAAAATCGGACCTAACCGCCACCTGATTGTCCTCCCACTCTAGGGTGACCTCTAGTTGACTAGGCCCCACCCCGAGCTGGCGGAGTGCTTGGTGTAGCAACTGGTGCAGAAGTCGTAGCCAGACTCCTCTATTGCGCTAGACCTCCATGACGACGAGGACACTGCCTCCACACATGCCCAAACTCCCCGCACTCAAAACAACTCCTTGGTGCTGGTGATGAGGAATGAAGGGAGCTCAGAGCACGGGGATAACTGGTAGAAGGACCTGGCATAGATGAGTCTTGAACTGATGGAGCACATGACAAACTTTGTGCTGGAAGGGCACTAAGAGATGAGTGACCCTACTGAGAACTGTGTGAACCACAGCCAAATGATACACCACGGTGAACTAGCCGAGCCGTCTAAGCATGTCTATAAGGACGACCCCTACCATGGTAAAAGTGACCTCCAGAAGGATTACCACTAAAACCACCTGATCCATAAGGCCTCTTGGCTTCCCACTTAACCCGCTCCTAGTTGGAGACCATCTCTATCTGTCGAGCAATATTGACAACCTCATCAAAATTAGCACCAGATACCATCTCCCTAGTCATATGCAACCACAACTGATATG